TATTCTAATTAATTGATATTTCCCCTTGGTATTTTATTTATTCAGTTTTCAACATAGTTGTGGACCGTGTTAGGGTCAGACTTGTGTATCCTTTTTACTTTCCGCTTGGTCCCATTGTTCTCCATTAAATTATAATTTATTTTCTCTCTCTAGTTATCAATCACACATTCTTCAATAAAATAATATTACACATAAATTTAATTTTTTTTCCTTTTTAATCATACATTCTTCAATAAAATAATATTACACGTAAATTTAAATTTTTTCCTTTCTAATCACACATTCTCCAAAAAATTATTATTTCTAACATTATAAGATGGAATGATGGGGCCAAACTGGCGATTAGTCTCACTTGGACTAGTTTTGGAGTGTGGTGGGGGATTTCAGTTTTGTGAGAGATTCTTTACGATTGTTACTGTTGTCGATTTTATCCCGCAAATGTACGGATCGTAACAAGTAGTAAGGTGGACCTTTTGAGTTTGAATTATCGTTCCCACGAGAACTATACTTTAGCACTCAATTTATTATTCCTAAATTATATTTGACGAAAATAAACAAAAACAATAATTAAACGTGATTTTTGTTCTAAATATTTAAAAACGTGATTGGATGCAACGAAAAGTAATTGAAAATTCAAATAATAACGGACATTAGAGCGGAACAATTTCACCTAATGGTCACCTTTACTTCATAAATCAAGATTCATACAACCTAAAGTAGTATTCGGTCGAATTCTTCTATGGTATTCAACTTACCCCTCTCGAGTTCTCGTTGAGCCTATTTAATTAGTTCAATTTCATATCTCTATGCAAATTAAATTTAATTAAACGCAACATTGTTTTTAAGAATTCGCACACGATCGCAGCAATCAATATAGGTATCTCTACACGTTATATTAATTTACCGAATTTTAACATGTAGTCAAAACAAATAATCCGCATCTCTACGCAATCATTGTTCACAAATCATCTAACTAGTGATCAAGTAATTAAATGCATTAAGAACAACATTAAAATCAACACATATTAAATAAGAGCACTAGAATCTTAATTGCATGAAATAAAGGGTTCCAAAAGATTACGTTGTTCGTCCTAAATCAAATCTAACTACTCATAATAATGGAAGAAACGCAAGATAAAATAATGGAAGACATCACCGGGATTAATTGACGAAACGTGAATGAATTTCCCAATTTTGCTCTAGCCGTCTTCTTCTTCTTTTCTGCCCAAATCTGCCGTGTGTATTCTGTCTATTGTTTAATCCAGCAGCAGCCAAAATTGTGTTCCTTTTAATTCAGTCTATGCGTGTAATTCTCCTCTTGGCTGCTCCGTTCCTGTGTATGTATAATATGATAATGCAGCAACCGGCCAGCCTTTCAATGTGTGTGAAGTTATATAATAATGACTGACTGTTTCTTCCTTTTTCCTCTATGTGACTGCGTGTATCTATATAAAAAAAATTTAGCACCAGCAGCCCGCTGATCAGCCCTCAAAGTGTGTTAAAATTATAATATTGGCTGACCCCCCTCTCTCTCTCTCTCTCTCTCTCTATATATATATATAACCCAGCAGCAACCCACTTTTATTTTTTTCTCTCCAGCTGCCGACCTGCCTTTGATCTTGTGGATATATAATTACCACTAGTTGCTGGCCCAATTTTTCAACAGCGGGCTGCCCTATTTGAATAGTCCAACAAAGGTCCAATTGGTTTTGACTTTTATTCCAAATTCAAGTCCTCGATTCTTTAAATATAATACAATTCAATCCTTGCACACTTAACTCATTGCAACCCATGTACTCTTCGATTCAATTCGAGTCCTTCAATTTCTAAAGTATGAAATTTGACTTTGCATCTAATGGCCAATTTAGTCCCCGCACTTTGGATTTTTCCATTTTTGCTCGTTTTTGCTTCTTTCCTTCAATTCCTTTTTCATTCAAAGAATTTACTTATTAAACGTAAAATACAACAATTCAGAATATAATTTGTCAAAAGAATTCTCAAATATTGTTATTTTAGGGTCTCGAATAAGTGTATAAAATACACTTATCATTTACAAAAAAATAAATTCATAAAGTTTTGAGTTTAACAATCCGTGATTTTTTTCTTGATATTGGGAGTTTCATTACATAAATCTTTGTGTTGTTATTTTTCTTTTCCATTTATATTTTTTTTACTTCTAAATAATTCTTTGAACAAAAAAAAATCCATCAACAATACAAAGGAATTGGTTTCAATTCCCTACACTTTAGTGCATCTTCAATGATAGTGCAAAATTGAATGTAAATTGGTATTTCCAAAAACACTTTTGTATCTTCATTTACATCCGGATAATTCTAAATTCAAATTTTGCCTCTTATTGATGCATCTTTTTTTATATTTTCTGCCAAAGAATGCAATTTACATTCCTTTTTCATCTCTTCATTGGAGAGGTTTCTGGCCACTTCGGATATTTAAATCACAATTTAGATCTATTTTACCCTACGATTGGAGATGCTCTTACAATGTTCTTGTACTTGAAATATGTTTGCCAACGTTTAAAGTAAGTTCCACAAAATTACTTAAACCATATTCACTTATTCAGTTCGAATTTGATGGTACAACAAAATTAACGGTGTCTGGGGGAGTTGCGATAATTTAATTTTAATGAACCTTTTAATCCTGGATCAAGCTGAATAAGAAAATTTGTGCTATTTATTCTTAGTTTATGAATGGCTCTGATATCTCTTATTTCATATCTTCCAAGAACTGTATTTGACAATTAGGGCTTAATACATGTTTGTTCAGAGTTTGAGAGCTCTAACTATTAAATTGCTGTGTGTTAAGAATATAGAAAGATTTCCCTAACATTTTCTGCAATATTTTCTTGTGCATCAAGATTATTTCCACGATAGTTTGAGGTTTAATTAATAATGAATATTTATTCTTTTAATTTTATTTGTAATTCCATAGATTGATCCCTGAATAAATTCATTAATTTGCTTCATTTCTCCTGCTGCTCCACTACTGCTAGAACAACATCGACAATGTCTCATGCCTACTATTTTTCCATCCATCACCGGAGCATGACGTATATGATTCTCGATGCACACTAAGGTACCGTTTGATTCAACAAAATTTTCCCTAGAAAATAGAATTTGGATTCCAACTTCCACAAAAAGGATATTTGATAGCTTATATTTACCATGAAATTGAATTTCTTAGATTTCTTGGAAATTGCACTTTTCCTTGTTTTCAAGGAATTTGAATTCTCACCAATATCACCAATATGGTAAAAATTCAAATTCTAGTATACTGTAGCATTTTATTTTATTTTTTCATTTTATTATTATTATTATTATTTTATTTTATTTTTATTTTTTTTTTGCAATGAAAACCAATTCTAAGAATTATTGTAAAAAAATATTTCCCTTTAATTGACAATTTTCATGTAAAATAAAGTCAAACCAACACTAAAAGATAGATGATTTTCTTGAATTTTTTTTTTTTTTGTTGGTAATGGAAACAAATTTCATTCCCAATACCAGTAAAATTTATCACTTTAATTGACAATTTTTATGTAAAATAAAGCCAAACGAACATCAAAAAATATTTTTATATAACATTTTTCACGTAAAAAATTATACCAATCAAACACAATAATTTAAAATTCCCAAGAAAAAAATTTCTAGGAAATTCAATTCTCTGGAATTCATTTTCAATTCAATTCAATTCCATTTTTGCAATCAAACGGACCCTAAAATGTCAATCAATTTCCAAGAACAATGTCAACGTGCCTGTAATCTAGATTCCTTCTTAAAATATACTAACTCTTACCTGTCATCGGCTGCATTGCTTGCAGAATGTTTGTATCTGATGTTACTGTTATCAGCTTCTCCTGTTGAGGCAATAAAAATTAGGTAAAGGGTTAGAAGAGAACAGTGGATGGCCAAAGAGGGTGAAGTCGAAAGAGAAAAGGCATCAACCTGATTAGTCATTATTTCCCTAACTTCTGTATATTTAGATGATCTATCCCGCAAAATAATCTTCCGCAAATTGTCTGTTTTGAACAATACGTATGCAAATTAGGAATTTAAGTTCAGAAATGTGAAATAAACGGGTATAACAAGTTTATAATTATAATCATCTGAAAGCACAGGCAAGAAAATTTTAGTAGGCAGGCAAAAATGACCAGAAAGACTATTCATTCATCTGAGTAGCAGGGAGTTTCATTGTACCCCCATTCCCAAGATCGAAACCCATATTTTTAATCGAAGAGTTTTTCCATTCTTTTCTTCTTGTCCTGGGCAGGGATGACGCGTCTGAAATTAGTTTTTGGATGTCGAACTTCAACTAATTGTGTTTAATGATGTGGAGAACAATACATTTTCAGTAAAAATTCCTACAATTAGCTGTTGCTTTCCTGGATTTAGCACCACCAAAGATCCTATATTATTTTCTGCCATCTGCAAATTTTAAAATAAACTGTTATTGCATTAAAAAATGGACAGCAAAAGCTTTATGCCCTTTAATTTTTGTAAGGGTTGAAGAAACCAAGTTGCTTCACGGCATCATAGACTATGTCATTTGATCGACACCAGAGCCAAGATCTGACCTTTTCTTCTCCCTTTGTCTCTAGTACCTTACAACACAGATTCAGATGAACCCACCTCAGCCTCCACAACAGGATCCAAGTCAGCTGCTTCTTTACCCACTTGATAACGGTAGGATTAGTTATGTTGACATGGTAGTTAGGATTCTTTCAATTAGACAGTTGGACAAAATATTGGGAAGTTAATGCTGTTAAACACAGCTGTAATGATGTATTTTTCTCCCTTTATATACCGGACAAATGTATTCATTCTTCAAGAATGCATGAGAGCTCAATTCCTTTTCTCTGTTCTTTCTCTCTCGTTTTTGGCTTCTTAATGCAGCTATGATTTTAGCTCATGAATTTTACATGGTATCAGAGCAAAATTCATAGCCTCTAACCAAGCTTCTGCTATTCTGAACAAAACCAAACCATGGCGAATTTCCTTTTCAACCCAGGTGATGACCCAACCAGTCATAATTTTTTACACCATAGTGATAATCCTAGTGCCTTGATCATTTCTGAGGTCTTTAATGGAGAAAATTATACTTCTTGGAGTCGTTCAATCTCAATGGCATTGAGTGTAAAGAACAAGCTAGCCTTCATTGATGGTTCATTACCGGCCCCAAATCCACCTTCTGGTGTCATACACAATTGTTGGGTTCGTGCTAATGACTTGGTACTGTCTTGGTTATTAAATTCCATCAATAAAGAAATTCGTCAAAGCCTATTGTATATTTCATCTGCCCATGAAGTTTGGAATGAACTCAAAGCAAAGTATATTCGAAGCGATGGCCCTAGAGTATATCACCAGGAAAAATCCCTCAACTCTATCTCTCAAGGTTCACAGTCACTCACTGCGTATTACAATTCATTTAAAGCCACATGGGATGAGTACATCAGCTGTAGAACTCTGCCTAAATACAACTGTGGAATGCTCTCTAGTTGTATGTGTGATATACTACATAGCATTTCTGATACTCAACAATCAGATGCTGTTATGAAGTTCCTCATAGGACTCAATGAATCTTATTCTGCATTGAGAAGCCAACTATTACTGACTTCTCCATTACCACCACTTGCTCGAGTATATGCACTTCTTCTCCAAGAAGAGAACCAAAGAGAGCTGCATACTGATTCATTCCCAGAGTCTGTTGTAATATAGCAAAGCAGCCCTCAAAAACATTCAATAGACCTCCATCTTGGAAAGATAAGAAGAAGCCCAAATGTAGTCACTGTGGTTATCTCAACCATACTGCAGATAAATGTTTCCAACTCATTGGCTACCCAGCTGGTTGGAAAGGACCCAGAGGATTACGAATGATGGCTGACGCTCCCATTGCCCATGCTGTGACATTAGAACAACCTGCAGATGATGGGGGACCAAGTACTTCTTTCAACCAAGACCTTTACCAACAGTTCTTAGCATTTACTAAAGCTCAACAAATCCCATCCTCCAAAACACATAATCCATCAGCTGCCACCATCACTACAGGTATCCCTCTTTGTACCACAGCCTCTGCCACACCAAAAACCATTTCTTGGATAATAGATACTGGTCCAACAGATCATATGATCTATTCACCAATCTTTTTTACTTCCATTGATTCAACCTCAACTACCAACGTACATTTACCAAATGGTACTTATGTTCCAGTTAGCCACATTAGGAAAGTCCAAGTTTCTGACAACTTAACACTTGATAATGTCCTATGTGTACCCTCATTTTCATTCAATCTTATATCGGTTTCCAAACTAACAAAATTTTCTAATGTTTCTGTGATATTTTTCGCATCTCACTGTTTTGTACAGGATCTGTCCACCATGAAGATGACTGGTTTAGCTAAGAAAAAGGAGGGCCTATATCAACTACTAATTGTCCATGATCAATCTCCTGCATATCACCTTACCACTCCATCAGTCAATGCTTCTCAACATTCCAACCATAGCTTATGGCATTTCAGACTTGGGCATATATCCTATACAAGAATGTCTAAAATTCCGTACATTACTTTTCAAATACCTTGTAACAATTTAGATATATGTGAAATTTGTCCTCTAGCAAAACAAAAGAAGTTACCGTTCCCTATCAACTACTCAAACTCGAATAAAATTTTTGACTTAGTTCATTGTGATATTTGGGGTCTATTTGGTGTACAATCCTTTAATGGTTAGAGATTTTTTTCTCACAATGGTTGATGATTATTCTTGATGTACTTGGGTATTCATGATGCAAGCTAAATCTGAAACTCGTGGTCATATCAAACACTTCTATCACATGGCCCTTTACCCACTTTAATACCAAAAGAAAGTCTATTAGATCAGATAATGGTGCTAAATTTATTATGCCAGACTTTTATCATGCTCATGGAATCTCCCACCAAAGAAGTTGTGTGGAATCACCCCAACGAAATGGAGTGGTGGAATAAAAGCACCAATTTATTCTACAAGTGGCTAGAGCACTCCTTTTTCAATCAAATGTACCCCTCATATTTTGGAGTGAATGCGTACTTACAGCTGTCCAACTCATAAATCGCATTCCTTCACCCATTCTTGGCAACAAAACCCCTTATGAACTGCTCTTCCAAAAACCACCAGAATATGACCATCTCAAAGCCTTTGGTTGCCTTTGCTTTGCATCCACACTCAATATTCACAGAACCAAATTTTCCCTCAAGCATCCAAATGTATATTCCTTGGATACCCTCTTGGATACAAGGGTTACAAAGTTTATGATTTACAAAGTCATAAAGTCTTTATTAGTAGGAATGTAATTTTTCATGAAACTACATTCCCCTACAAAGAGGCTTCTTCCCATCACTCACCTACAAATTCACTCATCTTCCCTATACCTGAGCCTATCTTCGATTCCACACTAGTCCCCAACATCATTTCTACTCCACATAGCTCAGAACCAACATCTGTTGATACAATTCCTAATCAGGTCTCTCAACCTTCATTGACAGAACAACAGCAAGATCTAAGTCTCAGTCCTTCTTTACACTGTCCCACGTCATCATACACTATTTTACCTATTTCTCCACCTCAGATTGCTCCTAGACAATCTACTAGACCCAGGCATTTACCTTCTTACCTGAATGATTATCAATGTGATCTACCATCTTCCCTCGCTGCAATCCAGTCATCTGTAATGTTGGCCAGACCGCGTGCATCAGGTAAACCTTATTCCTTGTCTCATTTCATTTCAACTACTCGATTAGCTCCCAACCACAAAGCTTTTACCACAGCAATTTCTAATGTTTTTGAACCCAAGTTTTATGGCCAAGCTGTAAAATATCCACACTGGCAGGAAGCCATGCACACAGAAATCAAAGCCCTTGAAAAGAATAACACTTGGACCCTCATGCATCTGCCACGTGACAAACATTCCATTGGGTGCAAATGGGTTTATAAGATTAAATTTAAAGCTGATGGCACTGTTGAAAGATATAAAGCGCGGCTGGTTGCTAAGGGATATACCCAACGTGAAGGACTTGATTGTTTTGACACATGTTCTCATGTGGTCAAATTAACTTCTATTCGGGTTCTTTTGGCTGTTGCATCTATAAATCATTGGCACTTGCACCAGTTAGATGTCAACAATTCATTTTTGCATGGTGACTTACATGAGGAAGTCTATATGAAGCTGCCCCAAGGATATCCTACTCATGATTCTTCCCTGAGCTTATATGGGCTCAAACAAGCATCTCAATAATGGTTTGCAAAACTTCACACCAGCCTTATTGCTTATGGATTCCATCAGTCCAAATCAGATTTTTCTTTATTCCTTCAAAATACTGTCAATTCATTCACGGTCCTTTTGGTTTATGTTGATGATGTTCTTCTTACTGGCAACAATCTTGATGAAATTCAGATTTTGAAAAAGTTTTTGGATGATCAATTCACAATCAAAGATTTGGGAGAGGCAAAGTACATCCTTGGATTGGAGATTGCTAGATCTCAGAGGGGGATTAGCATCAGTCAAAGAAAATATGACCTGGATATCTTAGAAGACTCTAGTTTTTCTGGATGCAAACCAGTTGCCTTCCCAATGGACTCTACTTTCAAACTCAAATCAGAAGACTGTAATATTCTATCTGATCCCTCAACTTATAGAAGACTTATTGGCAGAATGATCTATCTCACCATTACGAGACCCGACTTGGCCTACTCGGTCCAGGTCCTCAGTTAATTCATGTCTAAACTTGCTCAGCCCCATTTAGATGCAGCTCACAGGGTTCTTAGGCACATCAAGGCTACCCCTGGTCAAGGCCTATTCTTTCCTGCAAATTCAGAGTTACACCTCAAAGCATACAGTGATAGTGATTGGGCCGGTTGCCTTGTTACTAGGCGAAGTGTTATTGGTTTTGCTATCTTCCTTGGTGAGTCTCTAATTTCCTGGAAATCCAAGAAACAACCTACAGTTAGTAGATCCTTTGCTGAAGCCGAATATTGGCAATTAGCTTCCACAACATGTGAAATCCAGTGGCTTGTTTATCTTTTGAAAGACTTGGCTGTACATCATCCTCAATCTGCTCTCTTGTACACTGATAGCAAATTTCACTTTCTATTGCCAATAATCCTGTTCAGCACGAGAAAACGAAGCATATTCAGATAGATTGTCACCTTGTTCGAGAAAAACTTCAATCCAGCTTAGTTAAAATCATTCACGTTCCTTCACAACATCAGCTGGCAGACATATTAACTAAACCCCTTGGTTCTGCCTTGTTTCACAGAAATCTGTCCAAGATGGGCATCTTAAATATCCATGCCCCTCTTGAGGAGGGATCTTACGACACAGATTCAGATGAACCCACGTTAGCCTCCACAGCAGGATCCAATTCAGCTGCTTCTTTACCCACTTGATAACGGTAGAATTAGTTATGTTAGCATGGTAGTTAGGATTCTTTCAGTTAGATAGTTGGACAGAATATTGAGAAGTTAATGCTGTTAAACACAGCTGTAATGATGTATTTTTCTCCCTTTATATACCTAACAAATGTATTCATTCTTCAAGAATGCATGAGAGCTCAATTCATTTTCTCTGTTCTGGCTTCTTAATGCAGCTATGATTTTAGCTCATGAATTTTACAAGTACTTCTGCTACTGTTGTATTCGTCAACCCCTTGTCCGACGTTGTGTGAGAGAATTTGCCACTATTATTCCGTTAGTCTGTGTTTAGCATTATGAGATTGGATGTGATATGTTCATATAGCGATAAAACCTTTTTCAGCTCAGTTTTGGTCCTCGTATCTAAACCCGCGAGATGTTTGAGGTGTAGAGATTCATGACAAGATCTGACTGCTCACATGAGACCTTGCATTGTTAATCTTGTAAATAAAGAAAACATACATGAATTAAAGAAGATGTATGTTAGTGAAACAGTTAAAATAATTGCAAAAAAATGTCTCTTTTATTCTCAAACGTAATTCTAATGATTGAACAACGAAGAAAATCAAATCCCGACACGTTATTACCCTTGATGTGGGCTCCAGATAATATGAAACTCTCAGGAATTGTGAAATTACAATGATTTTATGCCAAGCTTTCTGATTCTTATGAGTAAGTAATGTCGTTTGATGAGTATTGTTACAAAGACATGTGCATGAACTTGGAATGAAGCTCAGTCAGCATGATACATGAATGACATATCCCTATTAATGGAAAATCCGAAGAGTAAGAGAGAATCTTTTCCCTTAATTCTTAATTGCTTGCTTGTTGGTAAATCTCTGTGTTCTTTTCTTGAATCGACAGTAGGTAGGTTAATGGAATATTTGGACAAAACCTGATAAAATTCTGTTCTTTCCCTTTCTATCAAGGTGTCAAGTGGAAGAAATCGACAATCTAGGATGTTTAGTGTTATGGGCCTAATTATAGGGTAATTATAAATCCCTAATTTATATAGTTTTAATATAGATCTCTAACATCGTGTGTGTGTGTGTGTATCGTCTCCTTTCTATGAGAATAAGAGAAAATATATTTTTCCTTCTTAAATTATTACATGGTATCAGAGCTTGGTGTCTATTGGCTTTGATTTTTCTCCCCTTCAAGCTTCTTCTTTTTGGTCACCGGCAGTGTGTGACTGTAATTTCCGCTTGGACCGCGGGTTTTGGAGCACGGCATAAGTTCTTCGGCCTCCTGCATTTCTTGTCATGGAGCGTAGAGAAATCTTGTAGGTGCAGGCGAATTTTGTTGCAAAATCTGGTCGGAGGAACCAATATTCTACTCGGCCATTCGTCTTCTTGGGCTGCCAATGATCGTTGGAAAAATTTCTAGGTTCCTTCAGTCGGGGATTGCGCTCTGGAGATCATCAATCAATTTCGG